CTCACAAATATTTGGGAAAGCCTGCCATGCCAAAGAAAAAGACAAGAATAGAGGGAAAAACGTATTCTCTCACAGCTCATCATCACTTCTTCTGTTCATCAATCTTCAAAGAAACAACTCACATTCTCCAAACGTCTCCATCAAATAAATGATTTCCTAAAGGTGAAAGTGATTTCATTTGCTGACTACATTTCAATATTTGCTTAGAGCAAGTAATCATTAAATTACCCACCCCACATCCACCACACAGTCTGGTAAGAAGGCTTGATGAAGCACACCGAAGACCTCCCCAGGGCCCCCTTTTGTAGTTAGGCATTCCACCAATGCTGTCCCAGGACCACACGCACTGGTCATACCCACAACTGCTTCTGCCACAAACAGCCACAAACAGCCACACTGTCTCTGTGGTGTTGAAGTCCAGGTGAATAAGAGTGTGCAAAAATGAGACAGCTCTAAAATCACATTTCCTGGAAGTTCACTGCTGAAGGTGCATTTCTGAGTAATTCTGAGAGGCAGTTTTGGACACAGGGAAGGCCACGAATTTTCACATCAGATCGATTTAGAGTTGAGGTTTAGCTTTGAGTCATTAGAACCTTACTCGTCATGTACACCAACTTTCTGAACCCCAGATTCCTCACCTGTAAAATAATACGATCTAGTTCATCAGGCTACCTTCCAGGTCAAATGAAAAAATGGCTCACATGCCCAATGGAATCTCTGGCACCTAGCAAGTGTACAATAAATGTTGGTTTTCATTTTTCCCTTTTTTCTCTTCTGTGGCTGAGTTTGATTCTTACCTGGATTCACTATCTGTGACAAACAAATTGAGTTTAGTTCTTCAATCTGCAACTAACATTTGGGTCCCGAATATTTCTGTCCTCTGACCTATTTTGGATCTCATCACATTTTTTCAATTCCTTCTCTGTGTCTCATATCCACCCTCCCACAAAAGTCAGCAAAGCAAGGGAGGAAGAATAAAGAATGGGAGGAAGATCCCTCATCCTTCATCACTGCTATGTCCAAATTGCCATCAAGAGTTCTTGACAACCCCTCAGATCAACATGAGTGTCCACCCTCCTCGAATTTGGTACATGCTTGCAAATTCACATATGACAGGAGCTCTATACCTTTTATTCTTCCTAATACCAAGATAATTTGCATAACAATTACAGCTACCAGGAGACATTTGACTCTGCAACATGCACCATTTGCAAATGCCTGCAATGGAGAATCACTTTTGCACTTGATGGAAAGGAGAAGGTGGGGGAGTTGGTCATTTACCGTAATGACTTTTTCATGATAAGCAGCCAGCATCTGTGATTATTTCCAAAGGCAGTGAATAGGTTCAAAGTCTTACATTATTGGACTTTAATTAGGAGTCCAGTTTGCATGCATTTTAAATGTTAATCACTGTTCAGTGAGCCGGAGAACTCAGATAGGTCACCCACAACCTACTCTCTCCATAAAGAACATATCCACTTTTTCTTTTTTTGAGATCCAAAGTACTTTGGGGCAGTGGCACAAGATTCTATTTCTCAAAAGAAAATAGCAAAGGACAGGAAGAGTTCAGAATGATGACTCCGAGGTTTGCAAATCTCATACCACTTTCAGCTACAGTCTTATAACACTCCTCCTTCCTCCCCCAAATGTGGAACAGTCCATATTGCCTATAAATTGTATTGATTTTGAACACTATTTGAGGACCTCTGGACATAATTTCAGGCCCAGTGGCACATACGGAAACGGAGTCAAATATTTTTGGCCTAAAATTAGTCTGAACTGGATTTGAGCAAGTCATCTGAACAGGGAACTCTAAACCTAGTCCATGACACAATTTCACCTCCTGGCAAATGAGACTAATACAACAACTGTATTTTCTTGGATAAAATAGTCCATTATTATAAAATTATCTCCTTCTCTTTTTTTGGTATTAAAATGTCTCTTTTATGAAATTTGTTCTTAGTAGATGGTAATCATGTTTGTTTGTATTTTAATATGTCCTTGCTTAGTAAACTTAAAAGTTGGTGGGTCTCCTAAATTTAAAAGAAGAAGAACAACAACAACAAGAATCATCATCATTATCATCATCCTCCCTGGTAGATGGGTGAAATTCTCAAATCTGCAGAAGGCTGAGTTAGTTATACCCCAAGTTCCAGGATGCATCAGGCAAGAAAACAGCATGCAGAGGTCTGCTAAAGACCAGTATCCTGGCTTTGACTCTGCTATTCTGTGATCTTTCTGTTCCACCCAAACAATGCTTGAAAGTCAATATTTCTCCGTTTCCTGCCTCTCCTTCTTAATGAGAAAGGACAAACACTTGAAAACAAAAATGTACACAAGATGCTTGAAGATAGAAATTATTTCTTCAAAGTGCTTTAATCATGCTGTTGAAAACCACTTCCTCCAGTGGCCTAATCACATAAATCATAGTAAAAGGTTAAAGACAAAGTTCAATTGTACCAATTGCCTGAGATGGTTTCTCAGAAATGGATTACTTGCTATTAAAAGGTAAAGTCATTCTGTTACACATTAGTATGCTCAGGGGGTCTCTATATTGTAACTATGCATTTCCTATCTAGATTACGCACATGAATGTTTGGTTTGGAGATGTTGGAAAGGAAAAATTTTTCCTCTACCCTTCATGATTGTTTGGCTGGTTTAATAATCAAATTAACATGAGACAGACTAACAGGAGAAAAACAAATTTAATTTTGTATGTATGGGCACCCCACATACATGAGAGGTTCAAAGACAGAAAGATCAAAGGAGGTATATATGCCTTCCTGAGCTAAGGAAGGGGATAAAGTCCCGAGGCTTCAAAGAAGTGGAGGGCATATCACAGAGTGATAAGAAGAGCAAATATTTGGCAATTAGATGTCTGTCTGTCCATACAAATTGGTCACTCAGATAAAATTTACCTCTGATAATAACTTTTACTCTATGTTACATTTCAAGTAGTACCCAAAATACCAGCTACTTTACTACATTTTTATCACAAATCAGGACATGGAGTTAAAACTATATAAATCAATCCATCTATTTGTCTTCAATTTATTATATATCCCATAATCTCCTCTGTGACTACGTATCTGTCAGTTCACCAGGCACTGAGTGTTCTTTCCACATCAGAATCTTTACTTGCTTTCCAAGACATGTTTCATCATCCTCATTTTGGAGAGAAAGCACATAAAGCAGAGTTTCTTTAATTTCCTCCAAGCTCTCTTACTCAACAGGCAATGAATATTCATACCATACAATCCAGCAATCCCACTTCTGGGTATATATCCAAAGGAAATGAAAACAGAATATTGAGATATCTTCACTGTCATGTTCATTGCAGCATTATTCACAACAGTCAAGATATGGAAACGACCGAAGTGTCTGTCAACAGATGAATGGAAAAAGTAGATGCAAGATATATATGTACAATGGGATATTATTCAGCCATGAGAAAGGATATCCTGCTATTTGTGACAACATGAATGGACCTTGAGAATATTATGCTAAGTGAAACAAGACAAAGACAAATACTGCATAGTATCATTTATACATAGAATCAAACTCATATGTAGAGTCAAACTTACAGAAACAGAGACTAGAAAAGTAGTTGCCAAGGGCTGGGGGTAGGGAAATAGGAAGAGGGTGGTGAAAAGGCACAAACTTTCAGCTATAAGATGAGTAACATCTCTGAAGATCTAATGGATAGCGTGATGATGATAGTTCATAACATTGTATTGTGTAATTGAAATTTGCTAAGAGAGTAAAATTTGAATGTTCTCACACACAAACAAAAAAAAGATAAATATGTGAGGTAATGGATGTGTTAATTAATTAGATGAGAGGACTCCCCTCACAAGGTATATATATCTCAAGTCATCATGATGTGCACTTTAAAGATTTATTTTTATTTTTATTTATTTGACAGAGAGAGAGAGACACAACGAGACAGGGAACACAAGCAGGCAGAGTGGGAGAGGGAGAAGCAGGCTTCCCTGCTGAGCAGGGAGCCCGATGTGGGGCTCGATCCCAGGACGCTGGGATCATGACCTGAGCTGAAGGCAGACCCTTAACAACTAAGCCACCCAGGCGCCCCATAATGTGCACTTCAAATATCTAATGATTTTGTCAATTATACCTCAATAAAGCTGGAAAAAAAAAAGACTACTCTGTATGAACCACCTTATTAAGAACTGTAAATGATATTAAGATGTAAAAGGGACAGAACATTGCCCTCAAGGGGCTTAGCATCTATCGGCCAATCTAACTAGACAAACTGACTTTAATTTTCCCATAAAGAGAGGAAATGAACCACATTATTTTAAAAAAGGATTCTTCATTTTACAAAAAGATTCATTGCATATTTTCCTAAATGGCAATAGGACATTTGAAAAGTGAGTTGATGTGCCTACAACTATTGGGGAAACATGTTTGTTACTCTCACAATATTGGCAACAGTTTGGTAGTTTGTTTTTTTTTTTTCTGTTTTCCAACAGTAAGAACTAAGTTTTTATTACATAAATTCTTGCATATTATTTGTTTGTAGGCAAAAAGTGGCCTTGAAAACAGGCTGTGTATTTACTGTGAACTTGATGAACGACATCAAGAAAAATATCCACTTTTCCTTTTCCCACAAACTCTTTCTTTTTAATATGCTTTTTAAATATTTGCTAAAATGTGCATTTGCTTTATAGACTATCAATTTAATATGACCATTTCCATATAAGCTGTAAAAACTACAACACTATTATGAGAATCAATATGATATCAAGAAACAAAAAAGAGATCTAATCACACTTTACTGTAGTCATATATCCTCTTAATAACATTCATAAGTTACCAGTTACATAATTAAATGCCAGAGGTGTTATCAAAGATACATTTTAAGGTCTAATTAACTGATAATAATTATGGTTCAATGCTAAGTCTACATGGTAATTAGTGAGACATTAGCAGAGAAAGTCTGCTAATCTGAAAATTATGAAGCTATTTCTCACCTGTTGCATCACGGATGGAATTCTGCTGCCACGGAAATGACTTCTCAGGTTGGACTCAGAAAGAAAAGATGTGGTTTTATGTGCTGCTGGAATAAAATAAAATTTATTGTTCCTGAACTCTTCCCTTTTTAATTTTTAATTGTGATAACATACATATAAAATTTACCATGCAAGCCATTTTTAAGTGTATAGTTCAGTGGTGTTAAGCCTATTCATTGTTGTGCAATGCAACCAGTCTCCAGAATTTCTTCACCTTGCTAAACAGAAAGTCTGTATTCATTAAGCAACAACTCTTTATTCTCCCTGCCCCTAGCCTCTGGCAAATCATTCTACTTTCTGTCACTGTGGATTTGACTGTCTAGTTACCCCATATGAGTAGAATTGCACAGTATTTGTCTTTTGTGACTGGTTTACTTCGCTTAGCATAATGTCCCCCAGGTTCATCCATGTTGTAGCATGTGTCAGAATGTCCTTCCTTTTTATGGCTGAAAAATATTCCATTGTAGGCATGGCCTCCATTTTGTTTTATCTATTCACCTGTCGATGGACACTTGAGATGCTTCCACCTTTTGGTTATGTGAATACTGTTCTTGAACATGGGCTCCTCTGTTGATTTGCTACAAACAGACACATTTTCTGGGTCAAAAACTTGACCTTTACTTCACCTTCCAATTGCTTCAGTTGCACTAGCAATGCATACCCCTGTGATTATGAACCAGCCTTCTCCTTGAGACTGATGAGCTTTCTCCTAGGAGGGAGGTGGGGAAAGATCGAATATTTACTGTGTCCAATATGTATCAGGCTCTGTGCAGTGTGCTTTTACTTCTATTTCTAATAAAGCTTTCAAGCAGATATTAACCTCTCCATTTTACAGATGCAGAAATCAAGGCTGAGAGTTTAATAATTTGTTCAAGATCTCAAAGTATCAGGGAGAAAAAACTTTCCCTCCATCCTCTTAGGTTCACTGTGTGAGGGCCTATGAATTAAACAAAAGATAGACTAACAGGAGAACAGGCACACAATTTTTATTAATATGTACATGCCCAGGAGTTCACACAGTGAAACTCAAAGAACCAGGCAGCCTCTGGGGCTTATATACCATGGTGACAAAGGAAAGGGTCTTCAAGAGATAATAAGTTGTGGGGAAGTGACCAGGAAATGTATGGAGGAACTAAAGGAAGACAAAGGTTATTTTAGTAAGGTCTGTTTACGCAAGCTTGTCTCAGTGCTGACTCTCCATTTCTGTTAATAGGAGTGCTCTCCCCTTCCTGGTAGAAGGTGGACACTCTCACAAAGGGAAATCTACGCCCTGCTTTTAGACAACTTGCAGAGAGGGCAGAGAACCCTTCCTGCACCTGATGATTATCAATTACCTTCAACTCAAAATAATCCTTACACACAAGTGGGATATTTTGGGGTGGCATGTTCTAAGCCTCTTCAGCAGTAAACAGTGAAATGAGATTCAAATCCAAGTCTTTGGGGCTCTAAATCCCATGTACCTTCCCACTACAGAGATAGTAAATAGGAACAGCATTCCTAAATATAAATTATACCGTTTTGGGGGGTGGGGGTCATTCTGCAGGCCAGATGTGTCTTCCGCTCATCTGCACTGCCACTCCCCCCACAGTCACCCCTGTTACCTGCCTAGCCCCTTCCTTGTCACAATGGGATGCTGAGGTATAAGATGAGGTCATTCCTCTAAGAAACTCACAGCCTAACTGGGAAGAAACATAAAAAAAAAAGAAAAAGAAATTTGAGGGGGGGCACCTGGGTGGGGGCACCTGGGTGGCTCAATCCGTTGAGCGTCCAACTCTTGATTTTGGCTTGGGACGTGATCTCAGGGTCCTGGGATCGAGCCCTGTGTTGGGCTCTGTACTCAAGCGCAAAGCCTGCTTGAGATTCTCTCTCCCTCCTCCTCTGCCCCCAGCTTGTGCATGCTCGCACTCTCTCTCTCAAATAAAGAAATAAAATCTTTAAAACATTTTTCAAGGGGGTGAGTCTCTACAGACACATTAGAAAGTCAATGAGGATATATGAATTGTGATCCCAGTGTTGTCCACCACTAGTCCTCTGCTGGACACTTCACCCCTCAGCCTCTATGGAAAATGAGGGCACCGGATTGGATTTCCTTTAAACCCTAAATTTCTTTCTTTTTTTTTTTTAAGATTTTATTCATTTATTTGAGAGAGAAAGAGTGAGAGCGAGAGAGCAGCAGAGGGAGAGGGAGAAGCAGACTCTCCACTGAGTAAGGAGTCCGATATGGGGCTCGATCCCAGGACCCTGAGATCATGACCTGAGCTGAAGGCGGCCATTTAACCAACTGAGCCACCCAGGCGCCCCTAAACCCTAAATTTCTGATATGTCATTGCATACGTACAAACAGGCGTATTACCATGTGACTGAAGACAAGTTGCATAAGCTCTTGATACCTTAGTGTCCTCATTTCTAAAATGAAATACCTGCCTTGCAAGATTTGGGGGAAATTGAATGCAATATTTCTAAAAGAATACCAAGAATATTCTTTGTATAATCAGTGGTAGCTGGTCTTACTCTAGATCTGCATGGTATACTGAACACATCAACAACAAAGATAGTGATGTAACAAAGTACCTAAGGTGTAATTTGGGGACTTCTGTTTCCCCTCATGGACAAAACCAACCCATTAGTAGGTATAATTCCATTTACCGTTCTGACTCCTTTTGTGAGAATTAGATAGTGAGCCACTCATAAAATTCTGTTTTCCATCTGTCAGGGAAATGTCCAAGGACTTCACAGATGCCCATGGGTAGCAGGGGTAACTGAGTTTTAGCCAATTGCGAAGTGGGAAAAGACCTTGAAAATCACGGAGAGGGCATTCTATGATTCCCAAGCCCAGCTTGTCACCAGAATTACCCAGTGTACTTACAAAAAATACAGACTGCTGAGGAGAAGAATGAAGAGGGGGAAATCGGAGGGGGAGATGAACCATGAGAGACGATGGACTCTGAAAAACAAACTGAGGGTTCTAGAGGGGAGGGGGGTGGGGGGATGGGTTAGCCTGGTGATGGGTATTAAAGAGGGCACGTTCTGCGTGGAGCACTGGGTGTTATACGCAAACAATGAATCATGGAACACTACATCAAAAACTAATGATGTAATGTCTGGTGATTAACATAACAAAAAATTTAAAGAAAAAAAGAAAACTGTAAAAAGTGAGAGAGAATATGATAGACAGGGAAGACACATGATTGTCATTATACAGTAGGAAACAAGATAGGGAAACTGGAACAATTGTCAAAGCAATGTTTGTAGAAACTTTTCTGAGTTAAAATGCACCTTAGTATACAGAACAATGCATTTATTTGGTTCAAAGAAAAAACTTCACCTATAAACATCTTGGAAAATTATTGAATTGAATTTTTTTATCATGAAAGTGTTTAAAAGTATAGGAAAGTCACAAGAATTGTAAAATGAAACCTGTATACATCTTATCTAGATTCCATAGTTGTTTTCACTTTGTCATGATTATTTGATACATGCACAAGGGTGTGTGTGCATGTATACGTGCACATGCACTTATATTCAGCACAAGAATCCATAGACTGGAAAAATATTTCATTACAAAGGAATAAAAAACCAAAAAAAAAAAAAATACAGACTGCTAGCCTGGCTCCCAGAAAGTTTCTGATTCAGTAGGCAGTTCTCCAACTACATCTGGGCTCTAACCCTCTCACATCTTCCTTCTACCTCATGGGTGGCCACAGCTAGACTTTAAAAAGTAGTTTTCTGAGCAATTCCACTTTTAGGTGAATACTCCCCAAAAGTGAAAGTCGTCACTTGAACAGAGACTTGTGCATCCATATTCATAATAGCAGCATTATTCATGTAGCCAAAAGGTGGAAGCAACTCAAATGTCCATTGACAAGACAAAGGGATAAACAAAATGGACTATATACTACAATGGAGTATTATTCAGCCTTAAAATGGAAGGAAATTCTGACACATACTAAAACATGAATGAACACTGAGGACGTTAAAATAAGTGAAGTAAACCAGTCACGAAAAGACAAATATTGTATAGTTTCCATTATATGAATCATCTAGAATATTCAGACTCACAGACACAGAAAATAGAATGGTAGTTGCCAGAGGCTGAGTGGCAGGAGGAATGGAAAATTATTCTTTAATGGGTATGAAGTTTCAGTTGAGAAAGATGAGTGAGTTCTGGAGATCCATAGTGGTGATGGTCACACAACAACATGAATGTACTTAACAACACAAAACTATACGCTTAAAAAATGATTAAGATGGTAAATTTTAGAGGCGCCTCACTGGCTCAGTAGGTAGAGCGTGCAGCTCTTTTTTTTTTTAAGATTTTATTTATTTATTTGAGAGAGAGAGAATGAGAGATAGAGAACACGAGAGGGAAGAGGGTCGGAGGGAGAAGCAGACTCCCGGCTGAGCAGGGAGCCCGATGTGGGACTCGATCCTAGGACTCCAGGATCATGACCTGAGCCGAAGGCAGTCGCTTAACCAACGAGCCACCCAGGCACCCGAGCATGCAGCTCTTGATCCCTGGGTTGTGAGTTCATGCCCCATGTTGGGTGAAGAGATTGCTTAAATAAATAAACCTTTTAAAAAAAGAAAGATGATACGGGGCGCCTGGGTGGCTGAGTCGTTAAGCGTCTGCCTTCGGCTCGGGTCATGATCCCAGGGTCCTGGGATTGAGCCCCGCGTCGTCGGGCTCCCTGCTCTGCGGGAAGCCTGCTTCTCCCTCTCCCACTCCCCCTGCTTGTGTTCCCTCTCTCGCTGGTCTCTCTCTGTCAAATAAATAAATAAAATCTTAAAAAAAAAAGAAAGATGATAAATTTTATGTTATATATACTTTACTGCAAAGAAAAACAAATAAACTAAAGCAGTAAAACAACAACAACAAAAAGCTTTTCTGGCTGCGGGAGGAGAAAGATTTATTTTGAGCATCCACCATGAACCAGGTTCTCTTCTAAGGACTGGGGGAATGATTCCTTCCATCAGAGAACCCATGTACCTCTAGAGAAAGGGACAGGAATGTATCAGTGAATCCCACCTAACTGGAAAAACCACTCCCACTGGCAGCCTGCAAAAGGTTTCTGTGGACTTAAATTCTGTGGGGAGCAATCAACTCTTCCAGAGAAAGCTGGGATAGGTGTGGTGGGGGACAGTTGAAGGCTCCTCAGGGAAAGTAACAGATACTGTGAGTCTCCACCAAAAGTCTGGCTCTGCTTCAACACCACCCACCCCAGCTTTTCCAGAATCCACATTACATGATCCCTTGCTCCAGCCACTGCACCAACTCCTCTGTTTTCAGGTTTTTTGTCTTGTGTCCTAAAGTTCCAACCTGAACTTCACCGGCATTAGTTGACTGACATTTTACAGAAGGCTTGGAAATTCTTTATCAGTGAGGAGTCAGGTCTTTTAGTGAAGTCTTTTTCTTATACCTAATATTCTGAAGCTATTGTTGTTTTGCTTTGCTTTTTTGTTGTCATCCATATATATCTATCATAGAAAAATGTAAAAGCAGATAATAAAAAAGAAATGAGAAATAAAAATCACCTATAATCCTACCACCTACCTGCAGAAACACTAACAGTGTGCATGTACGGACACGCATGCACACCCACACCCGCACACATTTTTCAGGATGACCCTCTGCTGTCATCTGCTTTTTCCACTTCCCTATGTTTTATTTTGGGTGATGACTCCTCTAGGTATTTGTGGTTGGGGAGAGCAT